CAAGAATTTGGGGTATAATTCTTGAGGGATTTGTAAGGTTACTCTTTGTCTTCAAAAGAAAGACAAATTAGTGAATTTGTGGAAAATCCTTAGTGTGGATAGCTAAGGTGGTGGATGTAGACTTTGGTTGAGAAAGTCGAACCACTCTAAATCGTTGTGCAAATATTTTCAATTTTTTGCAAAAGCTTCCACTGAAATTTTTATTGCCAATTCACCCCCTCTTGGCCTATTCCATCGATCAATTAACTCAACACTTCTGACAGACTAGGGGGAAAGAGCCAATATCAAAGTGGTAGTGTGCGGAGTGATAATAAGTGATCTCTCCATTGTCACAAAAAATAAGTGATAATAACGGCCAAGGGTAGAATTTCGTTTATCATATTTTGACATTTTCTCTTAAATCCAAAATGAGAATACTCAAACACTAAATAAGTGATCTCTTCATTGTCATAAAAAAAAAATACACAAAGGGTTAACCCGACAACTCCAAGCTAGTGACGTATTCCTTATTAGTAACTTGTCTAGGCTTACAAGTCACCAACATGTAACATTGTATCTATGAACTTAATATATTTTTCTTTACTCTTAACTATGACTATTCTTTACCTATACTTTTCATTCCAAACCACTCAAAGCGAGTCTTATTGCGTAAAAGATAGACGCAAGTATTTCATTTATTCCACATTGATAATCTTTCGCCTTGAGTCCTCCTTCGTGCTTTTGAGTAATAATTCGTCTTACGACTAATTATAATTTATCTAGTTGAAATTTCGTTTCCCTTCCAAAGAAAATGAATTGTATATCTTAATAATTTTTTTATAACCTTTAAAGGAAGGATAAAATAATTGTTGAAAAAGTTTTGTACATAAAAATTACAGCTTTTATAAGTTGTGACCTGTCAACGAAGAAAGACTTTTAAAGGATCAACTGCTTTTGCACTTAGCAATATTTTTTTATCCAAACTATCATAGTCATTGCAATTGTAGAAAAGTGGCACTCTCAAATACTTTATCGGAAAAGACTGAAACCTAAATCTTACATGACCTCTAATGCTCAATACATTCACTTTTTGAAGAATTCATCTGCAACTATATTCTACAAGATAAATCTAAAACAAAGTTAATATTTCCTTTAATGAACACCCAAAAAATCATCAACAAAGTCAATTTTCCCCCACTTAGTAAAACATCTGCTTGCCTGTCAAATAAATTCCTAATTTAGCTAATCCAATGCATTTCTTAAATCAACATTTAAAGAACATATGGGTGTCATGCATTTTATGATCTATTCAAAAGGGGTATGTATTTCTTTGATACCGGATATCATCCGATCTAAAATTTCGAACATCCGAAAATTTTAAATCACTAAAATTGTGATCTGAATCTAATCCGAAAAAATTGAATATCCAAAGTTTCGAATCGTATCTCCGGATCATAAAACTTAATTTGACAAAAAAATTTGATTTAAATTTTATATTTTGTGGCTTTATGCAACATCCACTGTGTTTCTATTATATATATATAAATTCAATTATTCACGCTCTATAAACAATTAGCATCTTAAATTTTATTGGGTTAGTGACTTGGTAGGATAGTGAGTTACTCGTTTACTAGGTTAGAGATTCTCTAACCCAATTTTTTATCGGATTTTTTTTATAATCTAAATTTAGAATTTAAACTATTCATATCCGGTCCAATTATTCATTCCCCTCCCCCTCAAATACCCAATCAACAAATTTGAATGATTTTTTTCTCTCACCCCTAATACTCATTAACCAAATATATATCAGTTGAAAAGGTACTTGGATTTTATAATATGATAACAAGTAGACACAATTCATTTTTGTTGGTCATAATCTTTGTAATACAATTATAGACACTGATACAACACTATATATAATTATAATCAATGGTATGAGCTGAATTGGTATTTTTGTTTCAATAATTTCTTGACTAACAACAACTCCATGATAGTATCTATTTTTTATTCTAAATAAATTTTGTAGGTAGATTAGTATTTAGTAATTTCTGTAAACTTTTAGACTCAATTTTCTTATTTTCTATTAGAAATGTCACTGAAATGGCTTTTTATTGAACTTCATGTACATAATCTTTAGCCTTTTAAACTTAATAAAGAGAACTTATAAGGGCTTTTAAGTAATTGAGAAGATTCATGATTCCTTAATTACCTTTAAATAATCAAGTTGGTTAGTACAAAAATGAAAAAAAAATTGGATGGTCGAAAAGGTTTAATTAAAATCATATAATTAGGACAATAATACAAACAATTAGGAAATAAAAACTCCAACTTTTTTTTGATACATCAAAACTCCATTTTAACACTAGAGAAACTATTAAATCATGACCGAGTAACTGTTAACTTGTCAAGTTTTCTTAATAAAAATACTTTTTTTCCTATAATTATAATCCTCTATATCCGATCTAGGAGTTACAATTGAGTCATAGTAGCCACGAATATCACATAAATGATATACAAACAAAATTTGTTTAATAAATTATTTTAGAAAATATTTATCAAATATAATATCAGAAATAAACTCATGCCAAAGTTAAAAAATGTTGAAAATAAATACTTAACCCCATAAAGTATAAAATCGAGATTACACATACGATGACCAAACTAGTCCTACATCTGGATAATCTGAAAATGAAATACAAACATTGTGAGCTATAAAGCTTAGCGTGTCCTCTAAGTACAAACAAGTAACAATATTAAAACGCAGATAATTCAAACATGATGTAATAAATAATATAACAGCAAATAGGAAACAGGGATCATGATAGGAACGTTACCCTTCGAATAGGAATGTGAGGCTTCCTTAGATAGTCTCAATATAGAACTTACACTAATGAACATGTTATAAAAAATAAAACATTAATAAGAAGTCACACATGCACGTATCACATACAACAGAAAAATGGAACACAATTTCAAAAGGTAAACATACAGTACGGATCGAGTAACGCACCTGTAATAGCTAAACAATATCGACTAAGTCCTACGCTTCTTACGTTAGTAGTACTAGGTCATACGAAATGAGAACGTGATAATTACATAGTACTATGTGAGTACAAAAACAACATATCTAAACATAAACAAACTAGGAATTCATTAAATAACACTCACGTGTATCTCGAGTCGAACACGCGGAATCAAGTTGAGTCGAACGAGAATGATCCGGATCTACTTAAGAGCAATGTGACAACACATAACCACCTTCAGTACATAATAACAGAGAGTAATTCCTCAAATTTCAGAGTTTACTTCACACAATTACAACATAAATTAATAAAAGATACAAAACATAGTTTTCAGGTCAAAATTTAACAAAACAGACTATGGAAACGAACTTAAGACATCGAAAAGTGTAAGGGTAGAAGTAAACAAAAAATTCAACAGTTAAAGTCAACGATCAACATGTTCGATTCGGTCAACGGTTCGACTCCTAAACCGGTTTGAACCGATTTGCAGGGAAACACTCCCATATCATATTACCCTTATCTTTGATCCTCATACTATCACTCTTACATTATCAACAAATTCACTTACTAAATTAACATCAATATCATCACTTTGTATCGTTGAATCAATAATCGGTTAATCATGTCAATATCTAATATTTTATTCTCTTGTTATTTAATAACTTTAATTAGCTCACCAAGATCAAATAATTTTCAACTCTACTTGAACAACTTGTTACCACTTCCTTTGAAATCCATTGTTGAATAAGTTGTTTAGTATAATATTGCTTAGAATCCTAACCCACGAAAAAGATATTTATTTCATATACGATTACTGGTGATGGCAGTAATTATAGGTAAAACAGCAAAAGGATTAACAGGTGTGTGTATAGTCATCTACGTCAGCACCTCCAAGTAATTGTATACATTAATGGAAGTAGGTGAATAGTAAAACATATGATTGAAAATTGCTTACTGCCACCCACCAACTGCATTGCTCACCCAACATCTATCTCATTATTAAAATCTTACAGCTGATTATTCTTCCAAGTCTTTGGCTTGCATGGATATGTTTTACAGACACTGGTGCAACGATTGTCGGATTTTATCATGCATTTGGTGGTGAAAATCGCCAAATGATTCACCTTGTAGCTGCTCATCAACTCAGATGATCGTAAGCATGGTTTTCAAGTGATGCAAATTACCGAGGACAGACAGGTGAAGCACATTTTGATTTCAAACCACCTTCACCAATCAACATTGATATTGATTAATCATCCTCTTGGTTTCCACATTTATTTCATTTTTACCATAATAAATTATGTCCACCCATCTTGCTTGCTCGCTGCACTCAATTCTATTTATACCCTCATCTCCCGTAATTATAGCCTTTTCTGACGTTAATTATAGCTGGAGACGATGACCATACTTCAAGTTGCCTGGTTTATATTTTGAATATATTACTTTAATGTTAACCCAATTGATTCTTATTATCATATGTAAAAGGATGTGTGTTCGAATATGTAAGAACACTGTATAATGTTAATTGAAAAATTAAAATAAAGATGATTGTGTAAAATATGTTATAAAATATGACAATATGAATACAGGCGAAGCCTCAACCTAACAACAAAGCTAAAAATTAGTCACTGTTTCTTACCACGTTTTAATTTAATTGCTTCAAAAGCCTCTTTTATTGACTTATTGCACAGTTTCTGGAAATTTAACCATTTATTATAAGTAGCTCCACAATTTTATTTCATCACTTTAAATGCAGAATTCATGAGAAATCTGGCTTAATTTATTGATCATCAATTTCTCAACAGTTTTATTAATTAAAGGATAATTGCAATTTTTTTATTTATCATCTTATCTTACCTAGTGTTTAATGAAATTGATTAATATTTTTATTTATTTATAATGAAGGTTAAAATGGTGTAGTAGCAGTAACTATATTTACAACACTATTTATATGGCCGTGATGTTATATATTGCACTCATATTTCTACTTCCGAAATCATCTCATTCTCATCGCTTTCAAAACAGGTTTGAACTGTGTTTCCTATATTGATCCAAAGGCAAAGTTGAAAATCAATGGGGAGGTCTCCATGTTGCGAGAAGGTGGGGTTGAAGAAAGGGCCATGGACCCCTGAAGAAGATCAAAAGCTGTTGGCTTACATTGAACAACATGGCCATGGAAGCTGGCGTGCCTTGCCTCTGAGAGCTGGTCTTTATCATTAATATCTATGCTTCATTTTTAGCTCCTCTGTATGTGCTTTGGTTTTACTTTTGATCATGTATTTTTGTATATATAGGACTTGAAAGATGTGGAAAGAGTTGCAGACTTAGGTGGATTAACTACTTGAGACCTGATATCAAAAGAGGAAAGTTTAGTTTACAGGAAGAACAAACTATCATTCAACTCCATGCCCTTCTTGGAAACAGGTCTAATCATTTCAGCACTTTACTTGAGTATAATACAATTCTAATGATTTTATACCTACAGGTGGTCTGCCATAGCTACTCATTTGCCCAAGAGAACAGACAACGAGATCAAGAACTACTGGAACACACATTTGAAGAAAAGATTGAGCAAGATGGGGATCGACCCCGTCACTCACAAGCCTAAAACCGACGCCGCCGCCGCTAACCCTAAAGATGCTGCTAACCTCAGCCACATGGCTCAATGGGAGAGTGCTCGCTTAGAAGCTGAAGCTAGATTGGTCCGAGACTCCAAACTAGTCGTCATCCCCAACCCCCCTCCCCAAAACCGCCTCGCTGCACCCTCTTCCTCTGCTCCGAGTCCAACAACGAGACCGCAGTGCCTTGACGTACTCAAAGCATGGCAAGGCGTTGTCTCGGGGTTGTTCACTTTTAACGTCGACAGCCTGCAGTCTCCCAAGTCGACGTTGAACTTCATGGAGAACACAACGCTGCCAATACCGTCATCGTCTGTTGGAATGTTGAATGACAACTTTGGTTGGATACCTTGTGAAAGTGGGGATATTCTAATAGTCGACAATGAGAGTAATGAAAGTGAGTGGAAATGTTTGGAGAAAGCGAACCAAATGCCGGAGGTAAAGGAAAGGTTGGATAATTCAATGGAATTGCAAGAAATGGACTGCTCCTCAGAGGGTGCATGGTTTCAAGAATTATTCGGATTAAATGGTTTGTAACTTGGAGCAGATTCATTTATCTATCTGCAAAATGATTCATCAATGGAGATCACTGAACTGGAGATGAATTAAATCATAGCTATGCTTCAACATCTGTTGCTGTGCCTTGAGAGTAATATATGGATAGGTCTAGTCTAGAATTTTAATGATAAGTGCCTTCACATTATTATTATTAACCGTAATGAGGAATTAATAATAACTGGAAAGGTTTTTAACCTATCTAATTAGAATTGTAACACCCCCCAACCCGAATTCGACCTGGATCCGAGTCTGAGGTGTCACATTGACTTTTTAAAACATTTACTTGGATAAAATAGTGAGTAATTTAAAAACTTTTACAACATATAACTTATTCAAAACGTTTACAAAACTATTCAGAGCTTATACAATTCAAATCTTTTAAATACATGCCAACTAGTCTTTTATACCATAAAATACATTTAAATCATCTATTTTCTGATATGAAACTTTGTAAGGAAAAATGCTGACCTGACTTGTACCTCAACAATCTATAAGCTTGTAAGAATCTGCGTGTGAAACACTCACACGCTAAGTCTATGACTTAGTGAGGCAAATAAATATATAATGTAAACTCTAACTTGTAATCATGCAGGAATAACTATTTTTATCACATCATATCAAATCATCTCGCTCATATGCTTTTCATATAACAATTACATATATATCATCATTTATGTTTTTATCCTGCTCCTATACTATTATACTTCATATCTCTTATTTCTTATTCATATGATCTCTTACATTCATATTCTATAACTTATAACAAATTCTTATATCATCATATATAAGTCATTTATACTCACTCACATATACATCAACATATATATTCATGTAACATATACAATAACCCATATCACACATATATCATATCATGCAATTCATATACATATATCACATACATTGATTTCACAATTATCTCTTTATTAGCCCATGTACACATGTGAGAATTGTAGATATGTGAGTCTATTGAGGTTGTGCACCACTATGCTGTCACCACAGCTCGTATAAATGTCCCGAAGGACCTATCCAGAGGTCACAAAGACCCCGACAACTATCCAGAGGTCATAAAGAACCTCGGCAACTGTCCATAGGCCCCGAAGAACCTAGGTAAACTGTCCATATATCTCGAAAGACATAGATAAACCCTCGACTCTTGGCATGCCAACTATACCCCTAGCTCTCATATCACATAACATGGGCATTATCATTTATAACATTTCATATCACTTATTCTTTCTCTTCTGTCACATACCACATGTATGTGTAACCATATATCTCATATCATATCATATATATCACAAGTGCATGTATTCACGTAGATCATTTCATATGACTTATATCATTTCTCATTTGTTCATGTAACTCGCATGCATATCATGTAACATATAACACATAATCATATAGGCTCACGGTTTTATCACCTATCATGTTATTTCACATATATACTTTTATATCACATAAACTCATATCTTCTTATCCCATAGCTTCTTATTATATCATTCACCTCATATAACTTATATCATTTCACACTTAGTCACATGGGTCATTTCTCATAGCATATATCACATCACATATGTTCATGGGTATATCCCATAGCATATAAAGTAACATATAAACTTATACATGTATTCATGTGTATACTTTCATCTAGCCTATATATCAATGTCATATAACTTATCTCATAACTTATTTGATAATCCTATATATTCTCTTACATAATCTTTATCATATATACATTCCTTCACGTATCTCATAGTTATGTATCATATTACATAATTTAACTTATATCATATTATCATATGTGCATATATCATGGACAATTAACATGTATCATATAAACATTTATTCACTCATATCATTAACATATGTAACAATCAATAACACACACATAACATATCAAACATATACTCATATTAATGAATTCATGCATTCTACTGTAGGAAATAGACTTGTCACAAGTCTTATTTCCATTAATACATAATACACTATCTAATGTGCACTCACATTGGCCTCACTACGTTCCAATACACTTTATGATTTTCCTCTCTTTCGATCGAATCTTAACTTGCCAATCGACCCGGACTTGTTCGTGCTCGATATCTATATAATCATACATTGATACATATCAGTATTCAATTGATATACACTAATCTATCATTTCTTAGACCAAAAGAAATGTCTTTTTCAATTTCCCCTTGAAGTGCATCGATGCATTCTACAATGCATCGATGCATTCTTTAACATGTGCATTGATGCACTACTCATACATCGATACACAAATTACCTTCGATGTTTTCATTTTAAAGGGATGCATCGATGCACTCCTTATGCATCGATGCACCAATTGCATTCGATGTTTTTTTTTAAAGAGTGCATCGATGCACATTCAATATGCATCGATACACCTTGCCCAGAATTTGCATTTTAAGCCCAAAAATCCATTTAATTCAACTCAAATGCTTTATATTTCATCCCCTTTCATATTCCTAACTTACATATACATATTTGCACTCATTTCTACTCAATAATCACTTCTTTAACCTCCATATCCTATTCTCCTTAAGAAATTCAAGAATCATACTCAAATTTCAACATGTTCTAAATTCAATTCTAACATTTATAACTTCTTATTCACATCGAGAACAAGTCAAATTTCATCTCAAAGTTGATTTATTAAGTCTATTTCATAAATTCACTTTGAAACTCATTTTCTTTAATCTTTTATAACTTCTTCATCTTTTGATTTTAAGATAACTTAAGCTTTCCCCAAGCTTAAGTATCACCTAATGATTAAAACCCCACTTAAATTTTAGCTAATAATCAACAACTAAGAAATCTTACCTTTGCAATGGAGCTTACGGGGAGAAGAAGAAGAAGGAAATAAGCTTCTAGATACTCTCCACCTATATGCTTATCTCTTTTAATAAGAGATAAATATCTTTTCCATAAAAAGACCATTATATCCCTTCCATAATTCCCTATTTACCATTAATCCAATACTGAAATATTCATACTTAAACCATTGAACTTTTTAATAATTTATACTTTTGTCACCAAATTTTTGAAAATTACAATTTGGTCACTAACCCATAATTTGGGATGTTACAAATCTCCCCTCCTTTTAAGAAAATTCGTCCTCGAATTTCCATTGGACACTTTGACAAGAACATATCTTTTAATATTCTTAAGTTGTTTTCACAACTTTATCCATTCGCAATTTATAATCAATGATTTGCCTTCAATTTTCCAAAGAATCCAATCCATTTCCGTCTTTTCTTTCCTTCAATCTGCATCTTCCTTCTTCAAAGCTCCCTTTAAACTTGTAAATACTCTTCTCTTTGCCTTCATCATATTTATATAGGATCCAAATACATAATCATATTCAATATTCTTATCATACTTAATTAACTCACTTTATCTTTTCTTCCAATCTTATAACTCTATCACCTTTACTATTACAATTAGCAAATATCAATGGTTCAATCTAGGGCACAAGCCCTAATTAACCAATCATATATCTCCGAACTTTATAAATCTATATACTGTTACTCATCATATGTACAGAAAAATCCAATACTTACTTTTCGATATAATAACTCAGTTAATTTCTTTCCTTCTCATCTAACTGCTTTGCAATATAAACCTAACCTTTCCTCAGTTCCTAATCATTGTCTGCACTACAATACACATGATCCTTTCATATTACTTTATACACTTTTCTTATTTCTTTATCAAACTTATAATCTATACTTCTTGTATATCCCTTGTCATATCTGATTCTGTAAACCTTATCATTTCCTTATTTCATTACTTTCCATAAATCAAAATATCCTTACAACATCGGTTATATCTTTTCTTTTATACTTCTTCACTCTTTTCATATTACCTTACTCTTCTCTATCAATCCTTAACTTCCCTTAAACACACAAATCTTTATCTCCTTCTTTACATCACATTCATATGATCAACACATTTTTCATCGTGTAACCTTGTTAGCCAACGCTAACTCTTTCTTCTAGAGTACAAACCCTTATTATTTCCACACTCTTACTTATACACAGTACTACCCCTTGGTTTCATATCCATAACTCTGATTTCATTCATCTTATAAACGTATCACTGATGCACTTATTCTTGAATCTTTTTTTTCTCTCCAAATTCTAACCACATCACTTGATCTTTTAACGTTCTTATGGTGACATTTGTTCACCATATTCTATATTATCCACGTAATAACAAACTTTTCAATTTAATTTCTCCACTTTGGAGAAATGAACACCTTCTAACACTATCTTAATATCATTTATTCAAAGGTCTGTAACAACAGAACCTTCCTCAAATTCACCCTTGAGCTCGGGTGCTCATTACTCTTTTAACTATTTTGATACATTCATTCTATGAGTTAACGATGTATATAATTGAAAACACATTGGAACATCTTTCAACATCATGATTCATTCTCTAATCATATACATGCATTCCCTGAGGTTTTTCGCTCTTCTCCCTGCCTGGCCAGGGTAGGTGAATGCTATTACCTTCAGGTCTATCGCCTTGTGCTTCACTTTGGAAGCTCTCATAAATTCATGTGCTCATATCATTTCTTCTATCACATATCACGTATGCATATGATCATCCAATTCATGTCATATAACATATGTCATTTGCATATGTTCACATATCTTCTATCATATCATATAAACATATATATATAATAAATCATTCTCATGTATACACTTATCTTATATAACATAACAATTGAACTCTATCAACAAGACAACACACTCCTTACTCTATCATATCAGAAAATTTTTCACTTTGTGTTGGCATGTGTACTTTTTAAAACACTTTTTGACTTCGTTTTTAGCCTAGAATCGGCTAAATCGTATCTCTGATACAATTAAATATAACACCCCCAACCCGAATCCGACCTGGATCCGAGTCTGAGGTGTCACATTGACTTTTTAAAACATTTACTTGGATAAAATAGTAAGTAATTTAAAAAATTTTATAACATATAACTTATTCAAAACGTTTACAAAACTATTTAGAGCTTATACAATTCAAATCTTTTAAATACATGCCAACTAGTCTTTTATACCAT